AAGAAAATAAATGCAAGACCCTGCATCTTCTCCACCCGTTTCTGAAAGGAATTGGTGCTTGAGCTCATGGTTCTACTGCCAGGTGATTGGAGAGGAGCAAATTTTGCATTCATCACTAAAATGCTGGTTGGTTTCAGCAGTGGAGATTTTATGGCCCATCACCATAACATTCAGGCCTGCAGAACATATATAAACTAGCAGCAAGCATAACTAAGGTCAAAATTGAAATTCCTAATTATTTAATTCATCTTTTCCAAATGTAATTGATGGATTATTCCATTGGCCAAATATTTGCAGCTGGATCTGCAAACTAAACCTTAAGAAGCTTCAGTAATTTAATATTTTTAATATTAATATTTAACACACTGCCCAAATATTAAAGTTATGCTACTTCTACTTTACAATTTCACACACACAGAATTATACAAGAGTTACTTAATTGTCAGCACTKCCTTTTTTTTTTTTTTAAYAKCWAGTATAATTTATCAGGAGATAATTCATATGGGTGGCAGCACTACACTTAAACWATCAAATCTGAACTAACTGCACAGGAAACCATAATGGCACCCTGAAAATTATTTCACAGGACAATTCTTCATATTTACTTTCCTCATTTAATTTAGAAGGATATTTCCCAGTTTGAAGGAACTTTCTGTTTTTTTTTTATTCAGTAGGGAATAACAACTTTAGGTGCTGAAATCAGTACTTTGAGYTAAAAAATAGCTCCCATTACTGAAAGATCATTTCTGCTTTATATTATGACAGTTTACAATATCTACCATGTAGCAGAACAGCCCACATTTGATGAGAAATTCTGTTCTGAGACCTYTGACTCTCTGAACTGTGAATCTGGCCGTGGTTGCTGTCCTTTCTGTAAGCAGAAACCTGAAGCAGGGCAAATAAATCGAAATGGGAACAGAGGAGCAGAGCCAGGTTGGCAACAGTTGAGATGAGTGCTTTTGTTTCTAAAAGAAGGGAAAAATGCCTTGAAAGTCATGCATTCTCTGTGCCTACGCTGGCTCGGCAGCAACTTGCTTTTCTGTTCCTTTTGTTACAACCATTGAAACACTTGGGGAAGACACTGAGAGCGCTCCTCCTCATAGCACACTACCCTTTTTGCTTTTCGTGGTGAYATAGCAGAGATGCATAGAATTAGCATTAATACAACTTTTACATAAATATTGACAAGGAATGTTCTCCTCCACAAAGAGTGAGCASGATCTGTTGCTGCTTGGTGGGTGGAGGGCTGGTAAAGGCAGCTTTAATTCCGCAYTCGAATCTCAATTTTTCTTGGCAATGCTTCTCGTGTAAGTTGGCTGCTCTAAATGACTTTGCTGCCACAGCCCCCAATGGATCATTCCAGCTGTTCAAAATAGCTGTTCAAAGTGAGGAAACCTCTACACAAAGAGTATTCCCTAGGGAGAAATTTCAAGAACTCTACAACCTCTCTGTGCTACTGGAAAAGTGTACAGAGACTGGATAAGAATACAGAATTCATAATTGTCCYTTCTATACAATAAAGCATTCATACTTTCTCATCTTTCTTTCTTTCTCATCTTTTGATTATTTTTTGACACCAAGCTTACCCTGTTCAAGAATATGGGTAAGAGCAAAGATTCCTTCACACCAACTCTGTGAGCTCTGTGCTCTGCAGCTGGTCTACCAGTGAAAATRGGGAGCAGCTTCAGCACCATACAGGCTTGCATTCAGTTTCTGACGACCCCAAAGCTCTGTCTTGGTATGCAGAAACTCTGAAACAGTCTGACTGTTGGGCTTGGTTACACACCTAACATTAGAAATCAAAAAAAATTTAACAACAATAGTCACAACAGTTTTGTTACAACACTGAATTTCCTCCTGCACATAGGGGAATGTACCTRGCCAGTTACAGCCTGCTGCACCAGCAGATTACTACAAAGGAATCAGATCATAAACAATTTTTGGCTCTGTGTCTCACAATCCTGTGATGATATCTGAGCCTTCCTTGTCTTCCCAGGCCATTCTTCCTCCAGATTCAAATGCCTGATTAATGTTATTAAAACAATTTCAAAACTGGTCTAGTTAAATTAGTGCAACCCCTTTGAATGGACATTTCCAAACCTGCTGGTCCTTCAGCTCCTGTCCTGCCCTTTATCTCTGGGTAATCTCAGTTGTAAACATGAATTCAGCAAGCATCTTTCCAACACTGACTCACAGAACCTCCCTCTAATCCAAAACAATCTCTTTTTGTCCTTCCTGAAACCTCAGCCTGTCTCTCAGACAATACTTTGTTCATATCTAGTTGTCAGTCAAGTTCAAAAAAGAGCTTTCACTGTTTCCCTCCTTTCCCTCCTCCAACTGTTTTTTGTGTATCTGTCAGATATCCAGACTCCTGCGAAGGAAGGTCTGCAGCCTCCAGCATAATAACAAATCTCTTTTTATATTATCATATCCATACTCTCTGGCTTCAAAATACAGCATCACCATGCTACTCTTCTAACACATCAGAAAAAGTACTATTTCATCTTACTCAGCGTTGAGATCATTTCCCTCCTCATGTCAGCTGGTGATACTGGGACGTATTGTCCCTTGTTAAACTCTCAAACAAATACCTCACATGGTTTCGTAGGTTATTCTTCCCACTGAGAAGCTTCCCAGAAACAAAAAAGGAATGTATTCATTTTTATGAATCTTGCCTTCCTCTGARATGTGTTACGAACGTTTTTAAGGACAAATGATGTGCTTTTAAACCAAGGGACGAAAGTCACAGCTAGTGGGTTAGGGCCACTTCTGCTATAGTGAACTCTGTCTGGTAGCAAGAGCAAAGTCCCAAACTGGAGAAGTCAGAAAAGGAACAAGTTGAAGAGGGCAGTCAAGGGAACAGTCAGACTTCAGGAAATGCTGAAATCTGTGAGCACATAGTCCAAGACACACCACGAGACCACATCATAGTCAAGATCAGGAAGTCAGAAACTCCATGTAAGACAGGATCTGTAACAAGAAAAAGCCGTATCTRGCTGGAGCAATGTTACACAAATCACTTGCAAACAGCAACCAGAATCAAACATCGGAGTGAAAACCAGAGAAAACATTAAATTAACAGAACTCAAGACTAGGAACTAGTACTGCACATCTAGAAAGAAGGACGGGTCGACTGTTATKAAAATTAAATGTGTAATATGGCTGGACAAGTCCACAAACTCTCAGCTGTAGTTCTCTTAGCATTTTAAGCAGATTTAATCCATTGTGGCTATTGAAACTAGTGGTCCTGCACTAGTAATTTTATGTGCATGCCCAAGCACAGCTTCTTATTTATACCAATACAAGCATCTATGTAGCTGGGACATGAACTGGCTTGGGAAACTGATGTAAATTAAAGTTGATCACAATTAAAAACTATTAACCATCATTAAAACAAAGTARCTAGCATTAAGCCTGATGCCGTCCMCTACAYAGCCACGCAAGTGCTTCTACKGGMACAAGGAAGGAGGCAGCATGGAGGAACAGACAAACGGCTGAGGAAGGAAGACCTTTATTTTAGGGCCGTCACAACTCACCCATAGTTTATACAAACCAGTGGAGCCCCAGCACCGGAGAACATGGTTCTCTGCCAGCTGTTAGGGCTGTGCCATGGGAGCGTACAGCGGCAACCAGCACCTAGGGAATGATTCACGTCCAGCTGCCTGGGGAATGACTCACTGGCTCAGTGACTCACTCCTCCGCTGGTGGACAGAGCCCACTGCCTATTATGCTGTCCGATACTATCTCACTGTCTCCTAGTAGGGACTCATTCATCTGTCCCCAGCCATCTGCTGCTGCCTGTCCCATGTAGCGCAAATTCCCTAGGCTCATCGGGGAAGACGGGATTTTCTGTTCTTCATTCGGTCAGTAGTGAGCCTTTCCTCTGACTACGAAGTATTGCAACACTGAGCTTATAGTGTGTTATAGTGTCATRAAAAATTGCTTTTAGAGCAACCATAAACCTATCTGGTTTTTAATAATTTCTTCTAAATATCAGAAAAAAAAAAGTCGTAGGTCATCAAATAAGGATCCGCGCACACAGATCCGCGGTCCCTCCTGTGCGCGCCCACAGCCGCACATGCCCTGCCCGGTCACTCGCTCCTTGGGCCACACACCCGCGGACYACTGACTCCCCGCTTCTCGGTCCACACGCTGGGCTCCTGGAAGGGGCGAAGGGAATGGAAACTGCGCCTGAACGCTCGGTTGAGCTCCTCTTTACGAGCGAGGGAAGCGCCTAACAACGGGCGCAGAGGGAAGGATTGCCGGGTGCGGGCGCAGCGCTGCCGCCGCGGTCCGGGAAGAGCCGGAATTCTTGTGCTCGCCCCTTGCTACGCGCCGAATGGTTTCGGGGGATGTTCCCGCGCAGTCCCTAGGCCATGTTCAGCCCTGCTCTGCCTGGCACGGCTCAGTGCCCACCACAGGCCGTGCTTCCCACCCATGCTCGGGGAGGCACGGTGCGACCCCGGTGCGGTCACCACACCGCGGCCCCGAGCACTGCCCTAGCCCCAGCGCCGCCGCCGCCCGCGCTCCATCTCCCGCTCCCTGCGGGCGGGCGGGCGGGCTGCAGGCAGGCGGGGCCAGGGGAACCGGCATATGCCTCAACAGACAWCGCCGCCGCCCTATGGGAAGCAGGGAAGGGCGGGCCGGAGCGGCGGCCGCCCAATGTGCAGCGCSACCCGGCGTGATGCGGGTACCTGTGGCATATAAAGGCGGCTGCGTGCGCACTGGACCCTCGCTTACACAGTATGGCCGGCGACATTAGCTAGCGCTCGCTCAACGCTCTTCTCTGTAACAGGGGAACACACGGACTACAAGGAACCGAACCGCATCGCCCGCCCGCACCCCCGCTCGGACTGTAACCCGCTCACACACGCTCACGCCGCATCCGCCGCCGCGCACTCCGGGTGGTTTTCGCCCGTTTAAAAAAAAAAAAAATCCTTCTTCTACTTATTCCTCTTTTTTTTTTTTTTTTTTTTTCAATTAATATTAAGCAAATCCCCCAGAAGGTGAAACCCGCCCGGGACGGACTGGGACCCGGCGGCGGCAGCAGCGCGGCCCGTGCAGCAGCAGCGAACGGTGGTGGCCGGGGGCGGCAGTTTGGTTGTCGTTTAATTTCTGTGGTTGTTGGTTGCCGAGTTGTCTCACCATGAAGGAGAACGGTGCACACTTCTTCGAAGGGACCGAGAAGCTGTTGGAGGTGTGGTTCGCCCGGCAGCAGCCCGCGCAGCAGGAGCCGCACCAGAGCAAGGGGTCCGGCGACCTCCGCACCATACCCAGGTCCGCGAATGGTCGGGGCGGGGTGGGGTCGGAGCGGGGAGAGGCGGCAGCGCTGCCCTCGGAGGGAGGCCGGTGGGGCGGGAGGGTCCCTGAATGGCCCGGGTGTGGCGGCGCTTCGGGGGGCGATGGCGGCCGCGCCGGGGGAAGGCAGGTTCCGGGGTGGCCGTCGGTGGGGGCTGGGCCCCCGCGCTGCCGGCCGCCTTCCCGCTCCCCCGGTGACAGCCCCGGCATCTTCCCGCTGAGGGTGACCTTCCGCCGCCCTCCAGAGACCCCCCCGAGGAGGGATCCTCCCGTGGTCCCGGCGGGCGGGAGGTGGCGGTGCCGGGGACGGAAGCCATTCCGCGCCGCCACCTCGTGCAGCCCCGCGCGGTTCCTGCTGGCAACATGTGGCGGAGCGGGGAGCGGAGCCGGGCGTGTGCCGCGCCGGCCGGGAGCGCCGCGGGGGGAGCGGCCGCCGTGTCGCAGTGCTGCTGGCGGCCGGGGCACGGCAGCGGCGCCCACCCCTCTGCGGCGGCTCCCGCCGAGCGGTGGCCAGTTTCGGGATGAGAAGGCTCGGGAAATCCCTGCCGCTGCCGTACTGCGGAGAGCGCGGGCTCGGGAATCTCTCGCAGTTAACGAAAGCTGGGAAGGGAGATCCCTCTCGCTGTCGCGGCGAGGATTGATGGTTCCCTCACATGGCCGGTGTGGCGGCGACCTCCGGCACTGTGTGGCCGGACAGGTCCCTAGAGCGGCTCTCGGCCAGGGAAGCGGGCGGTACCCGGCGACCCTTGCCGTGTCTCCCTGCGGTGCGGTGGGCACCGGAGCGAGGGAGGCACCGGGAAAGGGGGTGCCCCCTCCTCCCCCAGAAGTGTGGCTGGAGCCGCGGTTTACACGTGAGTGTCCYGGCCGCGCTCCCGGGCCGCGCCGCCGCTGCCGTCGCTCTCCCCCATTGAGGRGCCGAGGCCAATGGGAGCGGGACGGCGCGGAGGGGCCGGGCCGCGCCCGTCACCCAATGGGCACGTGGGGAATGCGCTGGCGCCGCGCTCGGCGCCGCCCGGGGCGGGGGAAGGAAGGCCCGGAGCCCGCTCCGCTCCGCTCCGCTCCCGGCGCACGTGTTCGGCACCGGCTCCCGCCGCTCCCCCTCCCGCCGCCCAGGAATGTGCCTGCGCCGCCTTTGTTAGCTCAGGAGCCGATGGCCACCTGCCGGCACACGGGGCGGCTCTGGAGCCGTGCCGGGCAAGGCGGGCGTGAGGCGGCTGTGCTGGAGATTGCCAATACCGTRTTTTGTAGGGAGGCAGTCTGCAAAYACTAAAACCAGATGATYTTCAAGGCCCCTTCCAACCTAGAYCATTCAACCATTATGGAATACTTAGACTTCTGACTTGGAGGGTCCAGCTGTAGATGTACAAAAAGTAGTGTTCAGGAAGTGTCAGAAAATGGTAGATGCTAGCCTTAAGTACAGAGTAAAATCTGCAGAACTATGCATGAGCTTGTAGTGACAACAAAAATGGTATGTAGGTAGGATTAGCTGACATAGTCGGAAAAGGCAGGCTTGTCCTAGGCAAACAGGGCAAATCTGAAGGTTGTGATTATGTCAGTAGTTCACCATGGTCAGCTGTTCAGCTTTTCAGGTTTGGGTGGTACCTGGAGGATCTGGCTCCCAATGTCTCCAGATCTGGTTCTGTCTATTACTGTTACCCTGTGCTCTCCAGTCAGGGAGTTTGAGCAAGAGAGCTTGTCGTAATGTATTTCATATTTGGAATATGTTCCGATGGTATAATCTCCATTCCATGATGTATCCGGTTTGTCTTTTCCTTGGTTTTGATATTCCTCAGTAAATTTCCCAGATAGATGTATGTTTCGGTAGAGTTGGCTATTCACAGATCTGAATTGGCAGTGAGCAGATAACCACCTTTTCAAAAAATAATGAATAGCCCATGTTGTGTGTGCATGCCTGCATGTTCATGGTTAGTGGAGGCTTCATTTTTTCTGTACAAGAAACACTGACCTGTTGGTGTAATGAGGTAATTTGCTCATRTAACTTTGACTTGTGACGCTATTTAGACYTCTCTCAATCATGTAGTTAACATRGAAATCATCAAATTTGTTTTTTATAGCTTGAGGCTTAGTGGTGTAGCATATACAGGGTAACAGCTTGTATGGTTAAGGTTTAGGCAATCCTGGAAAGAAAATCCCGGCTGAAGTACTTGCAGATGATGAACTATGTATGCACTTGAGGAGTCCTGTAGTGTTTGACTTTAAATATGAAAGAATCCAAAAGTACTCGTTTGACTTTGTGTTAATGTGCAGATGTAGTTTAGAGATGCCATTCTGCAAATGCTTTCCTCGCTGACACATTCGTGCTCTCTGGTGATCCATTTGTCGGCTCAGAGTCGCGTTTGCGAAACTGCAAACTTAACTTTTAAATTGCTCAAGAGCATTTAATGTAATTGCAGTGTAGGTACTGGGACAGTTCCTTTGTGTGGTTTAGATATGGCTGTAAAGTTTTAATAGAGTAGATAAAAACTGTTAACTGTTGAACGYGTGGTCTTTAACACAGTGTCGGAGCTGTGAGCAAGCTTTGAAGACTTCTGTGTTAATTGGCTCTTAATGCAGCATGTTAATCGAAGTTGCTTGCTTATTTTGGTAGGAAGCTGTAATGTGTGTAAAAGTGCAATTAACCTGAGTCCGCTTGTAATTATCAGTGATCGTGTGTTTCTAGAATTAAATTAACTTGCACAAACATTCCCTTTTGGAAAAAAACTGTCAGAATTAAATTACCTGGTACAGCTGATAGATACAAATGGAAGTTCTGAATACAATSCATCCTGCTATGCTAATTCTGTAAAGGTGATTGAATAGGCTAGTTTATGTTGAACAGAACCTGAAATCAAAGCTGAAACCGTAGAACAATAGCTAAATTAGAATCAAGTTGCAAACCAGTTGAGCTTGCCTTTTGTATTGTAATACCTGCTTAGTAGTGAAATGTGAACCATTCATCTACCGAATGACTAAGCTGGTGTTCAAAGCTAAAAATTTCCATGTTGCGTGCCCTTGTTAGGGATTAGATATTTTAAAGTCTTTGCTGGATATCACCAGTRAAAAAAGTTCTTGAGCTGATGCAATTAAGATATTTCTTTTCCACATTTTTTTCCCTCCTATGGGCAAGCCTGCATTCTAGATGATAAAAGTTTGGATTAGGTGTAATGTATTTCAGGAAGATCTCTGACTGTTATTTTAATTATTCAATAAATGTCTCAACTAAAAAGTGTTGAACTTGGGGACTTTACTCTGTTAAATTTTGGGGTGGTTTTGCTCACTTGTTAATGAGTTATGCAGAAAGGTCTTGTGGTTGCAATAGTTAGTGGCAAGCATCTAAATGTGCTTACCCTGCTTATATTCAGCAGTGGAATTAAGTTAATGTTTTTGTGGTCTCAAAATAATTTGCTTTAATTTTATTGCTTGTTCTCACTTAACGCTTTGTAAAGCATTTTTTTTCTAAAAAAATAGCCTTAAACTCTGTAAAGAAGACAGAGGATTTGCTGAAAATATGATGAACTTGCTGCAAGCCCTGGATTTCCATGGTGACTGTGTAGTGCTTTCTCTATCCCCACAATAAAATAAGCTATTTTTTCCTTCAGATTATGTGTAGCTATGCATTTTCCATCTCAAGGGTTATCAGGATCTTGAATGTACAAAAGTTTGAAACCATAAATAAATGATGCCAGTGYTAAAAGCTTGTATCTCAAGTATTCAACCCTGAAGAATTCTCTGAAATTAAGTTTATTTATGGGCTKTTAATCTGCTTCCTATTTGTCTTAYATTATGTGGAGACACARGCCGAAGAAAACTGCAGCAATATGGGATAACAGTGATAGAACATTCTGATCCTGTGCTACAAGGAAGCTCCCAGGCTTTCCCAAACGATACAGTCAAGGATTTGATAGGAGTCCTGTAAATCGTTGCTTTGTGCTGCACCCTGTAGCCTGAGTCAGCTCAGTGCTGCAGTGCCGCTGCACCTCTGCCCTTTCCCCCATCCTGAGTGGTGTTACCTCCCTGTTTGCTCAAACACTGAAGCTACAAGGAAGCTGGGCCATGAGCCCTGCTCTGCTTTTACTCCTGCAGTGCCTCAGAGCAGAGCTGAAGGGACTCTGGAAAGAAGGCAGGGCTRTACTAAGATAAAGGCTTCTGTCCCTGGGTCCTCGCTGAGCTTTTTTTATGCAAGGTTATCTGGAGAACTTTACGTAAGAGTGCAGTCCTCCCCTCATCAAAATGGATATTAAGTAAACGAGATTTTAGATCTGGTTCAAAACCACAAGGTAAAATGTTTTCTTGAGACTCAAAATTGTAATTAAAGAATGGTTTCACACGAAGGAGCCAAGCCCTTTTATTCTCACTACTACTGATTCTGATACTGCTTGCTGGAAGTGAAGACTTAATGTTGAAGRCTTTCTGACATTTTCCCACCTTACCACTGAAACTGTTGAGGTTTTGGTTAGTCATCTTCTGTCAAAGGTTCAGGGCTATTAGACTGTAGAAAATAAATATGCTGCTATTGCTGTTTTCCTTGGGCTTTCCTAATGGTTGTTTGCTCAGTGGGAACAGGAAGACTTGGGGCTTTTGCTAGATACTTGGCTTACAGTATGTTCCTCCTTCTGGAGAAAATTACACTCAAATTTGCCCTGAATCTTGCTTGTAAGTCCTGTTGTGCCTCATGTTTTTTTAAATACTTTGGATGTCCCTGGATATAAAAGACTTGGGAATTGAGTATCTTTGGACATAAAGGATGGAATCCCCATTCCATGAAACTGCAGTAGTGGTATGAGGCCTGCAACAGGAGAAATATGCCGCCTTCARAGCATATCTGTGGCCATCTTTGTGCCATTGCTGAAATGTCTTGGGTTTCATTTGAGAATTACGCTCTTGAGGAGTTGTCTTGGGACTTTCTAGGTAAGAAGGATTTTGTGAGGAATACTGAATTAGAATCATTTTTGATGTAGGTACAATGTTCCATTCAGGTGCCTGTCTTTCAAGAGTAAGTGCATGTCAGGGGAAAGCTTCTTAAGTTTAAGATAAGGGAGATGTGGACAGTCTCTCTGTGTATCTGTGCTCAGAGCATACAGAGGGTGTGACTTTTGTGCACCCCACAGATACTGCTGAAGTCAAATTATCAAATTGCAAGTGCCTTGCACCTAAACTCAGGCTGTGTAAGTGGTTCAAGGTAATCTATCTTAAGCAGCAATTTATAAATTAAGTTRTATTTCTGACAGGAAGTAATTCACCTCCAGCTGTCTGCAGAGAAATACATGAGCTGCTGGGAGGTGTTCTAAAATGCTCATGATTTTTGTGTGGCACCTTTCTGTTGGAGGATGCTTGAAACCAAGGTTCCAGCTCTGCTGACACTGACACCTAGCCAAATAGGAATTTGCCTGTTTACCTGTAGCCTGCTAATGAGGTAACTGATACCTATGTGGCTCCTAAAAATACTTAGTAGGTAACAGGTGAGGGATAGAAGATTGCTCTACAGTTGAATGCTTGATGTTAAAACAGAGTCTTRCAGTCAAGATTCAAAGGCCTGTTACTTGTGGTACTACAGAACTGACAGCTGTTCTATTTTACTGGAAAGCTATGCAAGAGTACATKTATGGCTTAAGCTGTCTTTAGGAGTTCCATATGGTTTATTTCCTAAAAATTCCTGCCCTACTGCAAAAGAGCTTTTCTTCCCAGTGCTGACTGCCTTAGCCAAGGTGCTGTTACTGGGATGATGTTGTAGTGTGCTTAAGGAGGCTGTTGGCTGCTGATAGGAATGAGTTTTTGATCTCCTCAAGTTGCGGTTAGCATGTTCCCAGCTGGCCTGAAACAGCAGGGTTGTGCCAGGTTTACTTGACTCTTGTTAAGAATGTGTTTTACCCCTGAAGGTAAAGGCTCAGAAGAGGCCAATATCTTGCACACAAAAGCATGGTTTATCTGTCAAGGAAAGCTTCCATCTGAAATAAAGGGGCAAATATGATGCTTTGGAACTTGGTTGAGAGGGACTGTTGACTATTTGTTATAGACATGAAGCATACTTCCTACAGATAAGCTACTTCTTAGTGATAYTAGCTTTTCCCTACTGGCATAACTGGTTGGCAGTTTGAATGGAAGTTATTTGTACTCTGGTAACAAGTCTGTTTGCAGCACAGGAATAGGAGTAGATTGCTAAACCTGATTTTTTTCCCCCTGCTTTTGACATGTTCTGCTAGTCAAGTGTAGAACAAACAGCTTTTTACCATTCAAGCAAGGACAGTTCTTCACACTTGAGTAGATATAGTCCATTTTCATTTGCTATTCTCTGAGAAGGTGCAGTGATTTAAGGTGCATCATGCTTGCCCATTTGAGAAACTCATTTGACTCTGGCTAAGTCACATTTATTTGAAAATTTAGAAATGGATTCTTACAACTTTGGAATGAAGTGGTCAATAAACCCACATGAGTAGGAAGTCAGTCACAAGTGTGTGTTTGCAGGTCCGCTGTAGAACTTGCTTCCAGTTTGAGCTGTCAATGATTCTCATGGATCAAATTCTGCTATGCTTTTGAGTATAGGAGAGCARTTTCCAAACTGGCATTATCCTGATATCTGGATGTGGGGAATATTTTAGGAAATAGTAATGCCCTTGCACATTGATCATTGTAGGGGGAATTTTGACGAGTGGAAGTCCACAATAGCACTTTATTGAGAATTAGTCTTACTTKGTTACCCTTTTTCAGTTGGAGGCTTTGCTTCCAAGTTTAAACTTAACTCAGTTATGACATAAGTATTCTCAAATACTGGAGTTACTAACTGAGAAGGTTCCTTACTTACTATTGAGTAGCTGTAATACATGTAGTAATAACCACTGACAATTCAACTGATTTTAAAAAAAGAAGAAATGCCAGAGTTAGACTTGGTGAACTTAATCTACTTGGTACAAAGTAGTCCCAGATGTTCTTCCTTAGCTATGCTTTAAACAATGGAACAAGCCAAATACTAAGGTCATCTTGTTTAAATAGATTATGTTGGATCAAATCCAGCCTTTCTTTAGTTTTCTGCACTGAACTTTAAGATGCAGATAGATACAGGCCAGTATCTCTGCAGAACTTCTCCCTAACATGGCCAAGTCTCAACCTGGGTGCTGCAACCCTTTATTAGTCTACGTACGCTTCTAGAGCAAGCCTGGCAGTTTCTAAAGTTGCAGGGGTTTTCCTTAATGCTGCTCTAAAGAGATCAAATCATGACCTTGCCCTTTATTTCTGTAAAGKCTGAACACAGCATTTAGTGTATGCTTAACTATGGTTTCTGTAGTTCAATGGTGACAACTTGAGCAAAGCTCTGATATGCAGAGGTCTTGTGCAACAGCAGGTTTCAGCCCTTGTACCGAAATACCAGCTGTGACACCAACAAACCTAACAGAATGTCCTTTGCATCGTGGGCAGTGGACTTAACACGCAGTAGTGTGTTGTTGATGCTGTACTGACCCCTCACTGGACTGCCAAACTTGATACATCTTCCTCTGCTAAGTGTCTGAAACTGAGACCAGCCATTTCCCTCAAATGCGTGCACAGAACTGCACTACTTAAAGAAAGTGTCACTTGCCTGCATGAGGCTGAGGTTTTGACTGTCTGACCAGGTAAGAAGCTTGTGAAGGCTGAGACGTGTGCTCTTGCAAAGCCTAAGATAGTTACATGCCCATTAATACTTAGAMAAGTACAAAATCAGATTTGTAGTAATGTGCAAATGGGGTTAGTACAGCTCAGCATCAGGGAATTCTTCGTCACCTTTCACAAATGCAATGTCAGATGCTGGTGTTTATTTAATGGCAGATAAAATGTCACTAGGGATGCTGGCATGATTTGAACAATCTAACACATTACCTTGTTCAATTTACAGGAAGGGTGGCCAGCAAACTTACGCTGGTGTGCTGTAGCCAGAGAAAACTAAACCCTTTAGTATTTGTATCAGAAAAAGAGTGTGATTTTTCCAGGAGCATTTAGAAGATAGCCTATATTATATCTATTTCACTCTTCTCATTTACCAGTCTTTTTAAAGTGAGCAGCCACTTGCATTTTCATGTACACTTAAATTTTAAGAACAGAGCTAAATTCAGTCAGTGACATAAGCGTAGAGCTGAATAAATGTGTGGGACTTGAGCTGAGCATTAAAAATAACCTTTTTAATTAGACATGCAGATTGGAGTGTCTGTGCTTGTAGAAGAGCCATGTCTGTGGTTGTAGAAGAGCATTTCATCAAGGGTCACTAACTGGGGTAAACCTCAYTTTGATTTTAAGTATCTAGTTATATGACAGAATTCCTCAGCTTGTTCAGATGTGCACTTGATTATGTGGGTTTTTTAAATGCATAGAATTTTCTTAAACACATTTTTAGTATTGTCAGTCTCATTTATAAGGAGGGTATAGTGTGAGTCTGTAAGTGAACTATGTTCTGGTTGAATCACATACAAATATTACTGTTCTGGTGTAATACATACTTTAAATGGGAAAATCCTCCAATGTTAGTAATAAAGGTACAGAATTCAGTTTCAGGRGGCATTCTCCTGAATGAGTGAATTCATTGAGGGGGAAGTTAAAGCATTTATTTGCTGGAGTGTTCAGAGAGGCTAAAGAATATCTGGCTATTTTAATTATACATACAACAGAATGTAGAACTTCATCTTCACAAACYGATCAGTTTTCTAAAGGGAAAGACTGGTGGCTGCAGGAGGAAACCTGCTGATGGAATTAACAGTGAGTGCTCTGTCSTGGAGTACAGCCACAGGGCTTTTGCAGTGTCAGTAAGGGGTGAGAGGTCTGACTCCTGAGGAAGGATTAGGCTGACAGTTTTATATGGGCAGGCTGAGCTTGCTTGGTGACAAAATATTGGCAATTCTTTCRTGCTCCTGGCTCCTGCAGTTATTCCAGCTCTGCTGATGGGCAGCTTAGTTTTATGCTGGGTTAATAAATCTCTTGGCTCATGCCATCTCCAAGGACAAGAGCCAGCACAAACCTGCAGGTGGAATATGCTGCGGGAAGGGAGAAGTAGGACAGCTGGCAGTCTTGTAGTTTTGTGACGTCAGGAAGCTGTAAYTGTTCCTGTCTTATTTATAGCAAAATTGACTAGATTGGATTCTACTAATCTGGTGTAGACACAAGACTGAAGTGATAACCAAAGTAGTTTTTTGCAAGTCCGTCATTTCTCCTCAGTACTTGGAAGTCTTTTGGCTTAATTTGAGCCCTTGGGTTTTTGTTTGGCTTTTTTTTTTTTTTCAAATTCCTTGTAAAATGAGTAGTAATAGTAAAGAATTGAAATATTAAACTTCTGCCACCGTACTGAATTCTAGCACTGTAGCTACAATTTGCACTGTGTGAAAGAGTTCTGTGATCCTAATTGGTCAGAGAGGAATCCAGGCCATTGAAATTTATTAGTTTTCAGGTTTTCAGTTAAATTATGAGTTTGACTCTAAACTGGTCGGTTAAAACATCTGAATGCTAACTTGSTGGTTTATTACTCTAGTAGCTGCCAGTGACTGCTGTGGTTGAACTGCACAGAGGTCCAACCTAAAGTATACCTTAAGTTACCAAACAATTAATTTTCTCTTAGTGTACATATGGGATGCAGGATTTAAGGTTTTTCTGACTCCCCTGTTTGGCAGTTGTTCTCATGCAGCAAATCATGGTAACAGATTCTGAGGAATTCTGATCCATCAGGAGCTAAGAATTGAGTATCACTGATTGTGAGAAACAGTCCATATATGAAAAGTGTTCCCATTTTGTGCTCTCAGATSCAGTAACTCRAGACAAGACTCTTGKYTTTWTTGGGCTTTTTACCCGGGTCTCCAGCAGGCTTYGGTTTGTTTAACCTGTTGTTTGTTCTCTTCTATAATTTCTTCACAGGATTGAGTGGGACAAACTTCTGGAGAATGTGCATTGTTTGATCATAAGTGTGACAAAAACTGACAAGCAGGAAGCTTATGTACTCAGGTAAGGCACTGGCTCATTTCTTTTAGTACCTAACAGGAAAAAAGTGAACACTGTCATATGTGATCCACTTGGCTGAGAATCCAATCCTGAGTTAATGTGCTGCAGATGATGGCTACAACTTGCAGGCATCTGCTCATCATGATACTGTCATGCTTCTGTTCAGAGGTGCAAATCTCWTCATAGTTGTCCATGTTTGTCTTTTTTCCTTAACTAGAAGGATCAACAGAGCTGGGGTGGCTTTGTTCCTTATCACTGAATTTTGTCCTTGGTTAAATAAAYGTCTCCAATACAGAATTCTGAAAYAATTTCAGCGGAATAGGCTATAGATGTCTCTTACAGATCAGCAGAAAAACCTTATCGGTAGATGAGCTTTAACTGCAGATAACACAATCAAGTGGAACATCTCTTGCAGCTGACCTAAGGGTGTCTGTAAAACTGTAGCTTTCCTGAAACCCTGGAATTTTTGCATTGTGCAGCAGATAGTTGTAAGGACGCTACTTCRCCATATGTTTTTCATCTTGCAGAATACTTTCTTGCTTTTTCTACGTGAACTTCACAGGCACATTTGACATTCTCTGGTTTACTTCAGATTACAAATACTGAAGCTTTTGTATACTGAAAGACTGCCTTGAGGGCAATGTTGTGCTAARAGCAAGCTAGTCAAATGAGCTATGCTCAAGTCTGTTTTTTCAAGCTCCATATATTTAAAACAAAATTCTGGAAAGAGTAACTAGTTGTACTGCATCCTGGATGAAATTTAACCTTGATTTTGAATTTGCAAACAGCATTCCAAGTTGAGTTATTTAAGCCAATTTCCACTTCCATTGTTCAGTTATTTGATTAAAAGATACTTGTTAAGAATCTTTGAATGTTCTGGATGTAGTTAGTATCAAAGCCTATCTCCAGTTCAGTTGGGTTATAGTTAAGTATCTGTGTAGTTAATATCTGTGTCTTTATTTATATAAAGGCATATCATATAGCTGTGCCTGTGAGCCCACCTCACAGCATGTTTGTGTTTCTCAGATAGTTTGAGGGTGTCTAATGTGTGTGCTTTTTCCTGTGGTGTGACAGTTCTGTAATGTTGTGCTTGGTGCAGGTATTTGTTTTGGGAAATCGTAACAGCTCCCAAGTGTTGGCTGCATTCTCTTGGCTTGATCCATTTGCTAAGTATGTTTATGTGCCATATGCTGAGTGTTCACTTAGAGTAATGCATTTGGTTGGGATAAGAACCAAGACCTAACAACTCTCTCCTGGATTGTTTTATGTAGGGAGTACTTAATCTATGCTTTTACGCCTCTTTTACAGTGAGAGTAGCATGTTTGTCTCCAAGAGACGTTTCATTTTGAAGACGTGTGGTACCACCCTCTTACTGCAAGCACTGGTTCCCCTGTTGGAGCTTGCTAGGGAGTACAGTGGGTTTGACTCAATTCAGGTAAGGTGTCAAAAGTGCTGCATCTTCCTAGGAATGTGCAAAAAGCTTTTTTTACTGCTATTTTGGATTCACTTATTAACTMTTCTGAAATGAGGACATTTATGTATGGTTCCCATAAAGGGAAGATTGCAATGTAAGATTGCTCTGCTGTGGCATTTGCCCTTTTTTTGTCTCTTAATGTGTGCTAACTAACAAATCAGCTATTGTGCTGAGTTACTTAAGAGTAACTGTGCCTGTGCTGTGTAGTGGAAAACAAATTTGGAAGTAAGTTGTCTCCTGAAGCTTAGAAATTGAGATAGGAATGATCATGTGCTGAAATGGGAATGCTGGTAGGAGTGTTTCTGACAATGAAAACTTAGGTCCTGGGAAAAGTTCATGATAAATGCTTGCATTTTTCTAAATTCATAGATTCAAGATGGATGGATATTCTCATGCGTAAGATGCACCTTTATTTTTTTCAGAGCTTCTTTTATTCACGTAAGAATTTCATGAAGCCTTCCCACCAGGAGTACCCACATAGGAATTTCCAGGAAGAAGTAGAGTTTCTTAATGAAATTTTCCCAAGTAAGTTCACGAAACTTGAGCAAAGTTGGGTGAAGGGTTGATGTTACGTGAGAAGTGACAAGCAGTACAATAGGTACAGGCTGCCAGGCCAAGCATTCAGCAGTCCTTGCATAAAAGTCAAAAGCTAAAAATACTTATTTTCTGAATTTCTGACACTAACTTGCCAAATTTTAAGCTTGCTAAACTTTACATTTGAAGTTCAAGACTTACAAGAAGAATCTCAAATTTTAAAAAATGATAGAGTTTTGAAGGAACATGGAAGCTRTGATACTCAGATGAGTTATTTGAAAATAAATTTTAATCGTAAATGTATTTAATAGAGGCATTAAGAGTACCAGGGTTTCTCTCTGTGCATAGCTAAAGCTGTAATACCAATTTCCTGATAACAGCCTCTCAGTTGGGGTGTCCAGACCCAGTTCTGAGGGAATTTGCTTTTCTGATTATTAACTTTGCATTCTTGAAGTTAAATGCCTGGTTATTTGATACAGCTGCTGACTGCATCAGTGAACCGCATGGGGTTCTGTGAAAAGCCCCTATCTTTAAATATGAAATGAATGTAATATTTTACATAAATGTTCAGCTTTGGTAGATTAACTKGAGACTTTTTGTCTTGTCTAGATGGAGCAGCTTATTGCATGGGGCGTATGAATTCTGATTGCTGGTACGTATGTGAAGGGTTTGAAGTTTTGGGGGGTTTACAGTAGAACTCAACTTGGTGCTGTCAATATATATATATATATATATATATATTACATATTTGGTTTATACTCTGCGTAGGTACCTGTACACCCTGGATTTCCCAGAGAGTCGGATATCCAATCAGCCTGATCAGACACTGGAAATTCTGATGAGTGAGCTTGACCCAGTAGTTATGGACCAGTTCTACATGAAAGATGGTGTTACTGCAAATGATGTCACTCGTGTACGTTTGCTTAAATGCTGAGCTATTTGGGGAATGGTGGAAATCAGGCAACAAAATGCTTCATTCACTTACCTTTTAATATAAGGTTTATTTTGTGGTGGGAGAGATGTCACGCAAAGTGTCAGGTTAATGCTTTGGGAATAAAACTGATTTAACTTTAGAATGTTTTGGGGAATATAACTTCATGTTTTCAAAGCCCATCCTTTAGTGAAAGAAATGATAAGCAGTGCTTTAAATGATTGGAGGCCTTTAGTCTGAAGAATGTAGAAGTAGGAATAAAACCACAATTWAAGTAACTTCAAAGGATRTAGATTWCAAGGAKTAAGGTTTAGAGTGGAGATAAGGACTGCAAAGCTTAGGCAGATATCAAAATTAGGGTTRAATCATGGAGCCATTTGGATGAYGGAAAAGGCAGATTTGGGRTCTAAGCATAATTTGATGGGTTTCYCTCRATTTCCCATTTTCCAAATGGGRAAATMYTRTGACATGGACAAATTTTTCTGACAAGTACACTGACTTAATCTTGTTTTCCATCTTAGGCTTTGATTCTCATACTGTATTTGCTATTGAGATTTGGCTGTAGCTCAGGTACTGTGGTAAATCAAAACGCTTGGGATTGCATTTCTTTCTAGAGTATTCAGTATATCCTTAYTCTGGAGTAAATGTAAACAGCCTTCACTTTGTGGATAATGGTTGAAGAGAAGCTCCATTTTTCATTTCAGCAGCAAAAGCAAATATGTTTTGGAATTGTAAGTTGTTTTCTTCTCTTGGATGTGTGCAGGTGGGCTCTGTAAGAGGCGGTGTGATAGCTTGCATGCAGCTTGTCACTGACATTTGTGTAGTGGCAGGATGCAAAGCAAGTTCATCTACAGTGGTGCAAGTAATCAGACTGACTTGTTTTTGGGAGAATTCTGRTATCCTGTTTGCTAAGTAGATGTTCATTCTGCCTTTGAGTTAAATCTGAACAGGTGTAAAGATGCATTCTAAACAGAACTGTTTAACTTTGTTTCAGATGAGTGGAATTCGTGACCTGATACCAGGTTCTGTTATTGATGCTACAATGTTCAATCCTTGTGGGTATTCAATGAATGGGATGAAATCGGATGTAAGTTTTACACTCAATAATAATAATCATTGATAACTGAAAGAAAGAAATATTTGGTGCTAATAATACCTTAATTTATTTTTCAGGGAACTTACTGGACTATTCACATCACTCCAGAACCAGAGTTTTCCTATGTTAGTTTTGAAACAAACATAAGTCAGACCTCTTATGATGACCTGATTAGAAAAGTTGTAGAGGTTTTCAAGCCAGGAAAATTTGTGACAACTCTCTTTGTTAATCAGGTGAGTTTTCTTGCTTGCATTAGCTTATCAGCTGATGAAATACATATAGATACAAATGAAGCAAGGTGTGAGATTTTTACTGGAGATTTAAGTTTCCAGTCTGTCTCTCTATTTGGGTGGTAGTTTCTTTGCACAGTAAAAATTTTCTTCAGTTTTGCTKTGKCATGTACTAAATCTGAGCTTCAGAAAACTTCWGAAACAGTAATGTGAGGCATCCCAGTCTCAGTATTCTAATGACTTCCTGTGTAGTTCTGTATGAGCATAATTTCATGCTTTGGCATTTTTCTGGATTTGCCTGCAMCTGTCAGTTGCATAACAGCTGCTGTTAATGGTGTTGCTCTCAGCTAATTGTAGAACCATAAAATTATTTGGGTTGGAAGGGACCTTAAAGAYTATCTCGTTYCAACCCCCTAYCATGGGCAGGGGCACCTTCCACTAGAGCAGGCTCCTCAAAGCCCCATCCAACTTGGTCTTGAACACTGCTGGGGATGGGGCATCCACAGCTTCTCTGGGCAGCATTTCCAGTGCCTCACTACTCTCTCAGTGAAGACTTTTTTCTTAATCTCTACTCTAAACACACCCTCTTTCAGTTTAAATCTCTTACCCCTTATTCTACCACTACAAGCTCTTGTAAGCAGTCCCTCTCCAGGTCTCTTGCAGCCCCCATTAGGCACTGGAAGGTGCTGTAAGGTCTCCCCAGAGCCTTCTCCAGGCCRAGAACCACAGTTCTCTCAGCCTGTGTCCATAGGAAAGGTGCTCCACCACCCATGGTGGTTCACAGAACAGCAGTACTATATGTAGGGAGTAGAATCACTCCTTGTGAATGAAACTTCCTGCACCATTGTCAAGAAGAGTTTTAAAACRTGTTGGTTTTAAGAATCATACATGAAATAAAGTGTGCTAATCTATCTCTAAATGACAGCTTTAAAAGTAACTTTCACCTTTTTTTTTTGTTTTCCAGAGCTCTAAATGTCGCACAGTGTTTTCCTCTGCCCAGAAAATTGAGGGGTTTAAACGTCTTGATCACCAGATTGCCCAATTCAGTGATTATAATTTTGTTTTCACCAGTTTCACAAAAAATCGCCAGCAACAGCACAGTTGATTAAGAATGAAGAAAAAGCGCAAAAAGAAATCCCATATAGAAGGTGGTGGTTGCTTTCTAGTTAATGATTCAGGGGGCCATGCTTTCCACTCCCACCACCTTGTAGTTGTGGAAAGCCCTAGGTGTAACCATAGTATAACCATTTTGAATTGTATGCATTATTATATCAAGGAGTTAGATATCTTGCATGAATGCTCTCTTCTGTGTTTAGGTACTCTATGCCACTCTTGCTGTGAAATTGAAGTGCATGTAGAAAAATCTTACTGTATGAAACTTTACAACACTTGTAAAAATGATTCAGGTAGAATTACACACAGTATAGTTTTTCTCCAAGTATCACCAAAAATTCCCCACAGACAAGGCTTTCGTCCTCATTAGACTTCAGCCTCAACCGACTCACTGGGGACAGTTCTCTGTTAAATTGTCACTTTTTTTTTTATCTATGTTGTGATTTCAGTCTGAAACAGTTTTTGATGAACTTCTATGATTTCTAATGAAACTGATTTCTAATTAACACTTTCATGTTTGGAGGAAGTTCTTTAAACAGTTACAAATTCTTTTGCTACTACAGGTGGTGGTTGATTTATTTTTAAATCAGACTGACTTTTCATGCTCTAATAAAGCTTCTAGGGATTGGCTCATCTCTCTTGGAGCACTGGGCTAATGCATCGGTCATTAACCTTTAGTAACTTGGGTATCGGTACTAGTGCAGGCTAAAGTKTGTCTTACCTTAATGCTCGTTTCTCTGTCCACATCCCAAGCTGTCRCACTGCTACGCAATGGCAGAATTTGATGAAGGTCCAAGACTTGGTAGGGGAAGAGCCAGGCTTCAAGTGCTTTGGCAGGATTGTGTGACAGCTTTGCAAAGTGTGAGTTCGTGTTGGCACCAGACATTTTCTGTCCTAATCACCTGTTATGTCAGAGCGGGAAGCTGGTGCTCCTGAGCACTGGCAGGTGGGGYTGGTGGAAGAGTGGAATTTGCCAGTCTGGGTGTGTTGATTGGTTTGGATTATTCCCAGTAAAACCTGTGACCTGCCACTTTGGACTGTAAAGAGTGCTTCTAAACTGGTCCAGTGTCACTTCATTTTGTTGTTCCAAGCAAAGCTAATGCCTCTGTCTTGTGACAGTCCTGTGACATTGTTGTGCATGTGACTTACGTTGTACTTGAGTGTTGTGACTTCATCTGTTTTTTCCTCCTAATTGCTAAGGTGGTTTCTCTTACTGTGACTTGAGGGCATTAAGTGAAGGCATAGAACAAGAACTGTCTGGGACATCTGGACAGAAGTGAAGTAGAATGCTATTCATGGAGCATGAATAAGTGTGTAAATCAAAGTCACTTTAATGAGTATTGACTGAAATGCAGGCTTTGAAAAGCTGGCACACTTTCAGCTATGTTTGTTTGCAAATACTGGGATTTGTAACAGCTGGGAGACCAGCGTGTTAACAGCAAAATTGAGACTATTTTCCCCCTCTTGTCYTTGCAATGATTTGACTCTTTCTGGTTTGATGCAATGGTTCTTTTGTTCCTTCTGTATTTATAAATGAAGCACTTTTTCAGTGCTTCTAAACTAAAGTCTGCTTGGTTAGAAATCAAGTGGTTGGAACATTTTGATTTTTTTTTTTTATTTTAAGCATATTATTGATGTTCTTTACCAATGTTATCAATTACATGCTGTAAATGGCACTAATGCTTTTTGGTGTTAATATTGAGGACCAATATTTCAATGGGGTTTTTTTAGTTCTTGCGTTGTCCCAAATGTTCTGACATTTTTTGGCTTGAGGTCCTTTAAGTTGACTGAAGATCCCTTTTCAAGTAATACTGAAAGCAAGCATCTTACAAAAAGAAGCATAAGCCTCGTCTGTGAAATGAAAGCTGTTGAATGGGTTATTGAACTATCTGGGTGATCAGGATGGGGGGAGTAYGGTGTTTATAATTTCTGTGGTGTTAGACTTTGATCATTTAAAAATATCTGTACCACAACTTAACGCTTCAATAAAAGTTCGCTTAAATTGTTTGTAGTGATGGTCCAGCAATTCTACCCTTCACTGTCTTCATGCTTTTTGGTACCAAATGGTTTAATTCTGAAATAGATTTATGTTCTTGCTGTCCTAATTGGCTCTGCCCTAGTAGGGTATGCATCTGAGTGCATTGGTAGTTTAAAATATGGCAGCATGTGAAACGAAGCCAAATGAAAATGTTGCGCTGTTCTTGAGGCTAAAACTGTTTCTCTAAATGAACACAAAATTTTTTTTGTCTTCATTTAACCTGCATGTTTTTTTCTTGAGCATTAGCCATTCTAAATAGTCCTCTGAATTAGGACAACTGCTTCTGAGTTACAAATGGGCATACATTTATGGTACTTAGGGCTTTGGCTTTGAGGGTTCAAGGTGAGATTTATCTCTTTCATATAAAGTAGCATGGACCTGATTTGGATAGTAACCTAGACCAGAAGCTGATGGCTAGGAATGTCAGTGCTAAGCAGATGCAACTAGCACAATTGAAAATTCCTTGAGTTCATATGCCRAGCCCTACAGGAACAGCAGCTGCAGTTTACCCGTACGTGCAAAGCTCTAGCAATGCTGGTATCCCCCAAAGTCACTTCCATAGGGAAACCTTGTGTTATCATTGAAGGTCTAAAGCCTTTCAGTGGTTTACTTCTGAATACAAGTTTCATTAGTCACCCAGAACCTGATCTTTGATATTACATGCTTCTAATGATGTTCTGGATATTAAATCAGACTTCTGGTTATTTCAAATGACTTCTGGTTATTTCAAATACTTAAGACCATTGGAAATGCCTGATTAATTATTCTATGGAAATAAGATCAAAACCTGTGGGAGACGGGTCCTGATTGACCAACCTGATCTCCATCTGTGGCAAGGTGACTTACTCAGTGGGTGATGGAAAAGTGGATGGTGTCCACCTGGACTTCAGTAAAGCATTAGATTCTGTGTCACAACCTTCTGGAGAAACTGGGTGCACTCTTTGCTGGGTAAAAAAACTAGACTGGGTCATCAGACCCAGAGGAGGGGGGTGAGTGGTGCCACATCCAGCTGCTGGCTGGTCACCAGGGGTGTTCCCCAAGGGGGGTCAGTGTCGTGGCTGCAAAGCTGGGGCTGTCTTATTCAGTGGTAGGGGGATCTTTAAGGTCCCTTCCAATCCAAACTATTCTGTGATTATATGTTAGACTGGGGATGGTCTGCATCATCTTAGGGCAGGCAAGAGGATTAAGGCAGTTCTGTGCTTGAGCACTCTAATGTTTCAACACAGGGCAGAGAGGGAAAAGCTGCTGCTCCAATGCTGGAACCAAGCCACTTGAATAGGCATTAAAAGCCAGTGGTTTTCAGTCCTAGACCTTTGCTGTGGTGTGATGATGGCAAAGAGATGACGGCTCAGGGTGGGATGACTCTAGAAACAGGTACTGGCTGTCAGTTTGGCTGCTGCTTTGGTGGTCCAGGACTATGTGCTGGCAGAAATATTGAAGCTTGCCAGCTGGGGTGGTCTAAATTCAGGTTTCCTTAGGGATTATTCCAAAAGCAGTGCCACCAATACCCAAGTGCACAAGACTTGGAAACAATGCTGAGGATATGTTCCTGAGGGATGGAGTTCTCCCAAGCTACTCAGGTGAAACTATATTAGAAGCGGAAAAAGTTGCTTCCAAATACATTTTGTATAAACTGAAGCCTGCTGAAGTGTTAAAGCCGAGCCTGTGGCCAAATCCTGGGAAGAGCAGGATAGTTCAGTGCTGATCTGTTGTACTCCCATATAACCACAGTAATGACAATTCAGTAGAAAGGTTAATGGCCAACTGAGGAGCTGCTGTGGCAGCTACACGGAGCTAAGCAAATGGGATTCATGTGTTCTCAAACATGTTCAAAAACTTAATTTCAAATGCTTGTGGAGCCATRGTGCGAATGTACCTATAGACAAGCCTGGGGAAGAGAGCACTGTCATTAGGAAACTGCTGAGACAGGCATTTCCCCACAGCGTGTTCCATTGACTTTCAATTAAGTGTTTAACTTCARGTTAAGTTAGACTTGCACTTTTTCATCCCTCTTAATTCCATTCTGTGGGATTAGTGGTGGTGTGGTCCATGGGGTACTCTGCATATTGTTTACAGTTCAGACAGACCTCTGCTGTTTGGAGAGATTGGATTAGGGTTAAAATTGCCTATAATGTTTGGTGTTAGTATMCTTCCTGCCTACAAGGAAGCACTGCAAAATATTTTTTAAGCAAATTTCAGGCTAACTGTTCTARTTTCTATTGCTTGTTATACACTGTACTTACAAAACTGGAACTGCTGTTACATTTAATTTTTAAAAAATAAAGCAGGCCCTAGAGAGTCCTGCTTCTGCAGCTGCCTGAGAGCYGTATCTTTATATAAATTTTACATTCTCTATAATGTGCTTAGTTCTGCCTTTGGCAACTGCTATTAATTTTAGATGTATGTTTACAAGTGAAATATGTACAGTCTCATTTAGGAGCAAGACCAGGCACATGGATACTGTAATCTCAGCATTTTTCATTCCTGGATTAACCAGAACATGAACACACATTTTTGTGTCATGTAATTCTTAATGTGGATACTTTACCTAATCCCTAACTCTAAATTAYGTCATTTATAGCCTTCCTGTTATTTTCTCCAATCTTTTTATGGCTTATATTGATCCTCTCWGTCCATCACTCTAAATTTTTCTTGAATACTAAGATTTCAATATAGCATGCAAGGCATCCACCCATCTGAAGACATAGAATCACAGAATCATTTGGGTTGGAAGGGATCTAAAAGATACCTGATTCCAACACCTTACACTAGACTGACTTTCTTAAAGCCCCTTCCAGCCTGGCCTTGACCACTTCCAGGGATGGGGCATGCCCAATTTCTCTGAGCAACCTGTTCCAGTGTCTCACCATCCTCACACTAAAGAATTTCTCCCTAATACCTAATCTATACCTTTGCTCATTCCCCCTCGTCCTGTCACTACATGCTCTGGTAAATAGTCTCTCTCCATCTTTCTAATAGTCTCCCTTCAGGTACTGGAAGGCTGCAAATAAGTCACTCAGAGCCTCTTTTTCAGGCAAAAAATCCACATTTTGTCAGCCTTTCCTCAGAGGAGAGGTTACGCATCACTAATAAATTTGGTGTCCCTCTGGACTCACTGCAGCAGGTCAATGCCCCTGCCATGCTGAGGACCCCAGAGCAATTTGCAGCACTCCAGGTGAGGTCYCGCCAGAGCAGAGGGGCAGAATCCCCTCCCTTGCCCTGCTGGCCATGCTGCTTTGGATGCAGTCCAGGACATTTTGGCTTTCTGGGCTRYGAGTGCTCATGTCCAGCCYCTCATCCACCWGCAGCCACCAGTCCTCAGCAGGRCTGCRCTTGGTCTGTTCATCTCCCAGCCTGGATTTATAGGAGAGTTATCCTGACAGGTGCGGCAACTTGGACTTGGTCTTGTTAAAACCTCATGAGGTTCCCATGGCCGACTTCTTGAGCTTGTCCAGATCCCTCTGGATGGCATCCCATCCTTCAGRTGTGCCAGCYGCACCRCTTAGTTTTGTGTCATCTGCAAATTTGCMGAGGGTGCACTTGATCCCTTCATCTGTGTCATTAACGAAGATATTAAATAGCACTGGTCCCAATATGGATGCCCCARTATTGCCTTCTACATTAGAAAGGTGCAAAGTTGTGGTTTCAGTTTGCAAAGTAACCATAGAAATGGAACTTCTGACTTTTATTTCCACTAGRAATGGACTTCTGGCTCCACTGTCTAGTTTCCATCTATTAAATTTCATTGTCTTACTTAATGGGCAATATTTAAGTAT